TTTGCCTCAGCTTTTTCCCGCCAAAACAGGTTGCCTCAGAGCTCCCTAATCTAGTCCCCAATCTGAGGTTACACGTTCTTCCACTAGCCTACCTCCCCGTGAGGTAAGCCTAGAAGATTACCTACGCGCTCTCAGATTGTCCCTGACTAGACCCCCCTTGCTCTGGGCACACTTGCCAAGGCTTTGCTGTACCACTGGACAACTGGACCAGTCGTATCCCACACGCTGGACACCAATCAATGTGACAACCCCAGACCTACTGGGATATGCCACAGTTTCACTAAGCTGCCACCAACCATTCCCTATAAGAAGTCACACAGACCAGGGATGGATTTTTAACAAATAAAAGAACAAGGTTTATTTACATAACACACAGGGAAAATAAAATGATCAAATGAATAAGATACAGTAACGTGGCTTAGTCTCAATCATACATACACTAGTTTGGTTCACACAGAACGCATTTAACTAAAGCACAGACCCTGAACCTATCAGTTCTGGCTAACCCTACAGACACCTGAACCTATCAGGTTGGTACTGACTGACACACAGTAGTACCCTGTCTGACACACAGACTCCCACTCAAGCTTCTTCTCTCAGCTCTTCTCCAGCTTCTCCTTCTTAGCTCCACACAAACTCCATATATATATACAGTACAGCCCCTCCTCCTGATGTCCCGCCTTCCACTCCCCATAGGATGGAACTTTCCCTCCAAACCCATGACAGACAGGTAACATCAGTGCTGTATGTAACAGGTAGAAACAACAACTATTGGTGCTGTAGGATGGCTGTAATCCACAAAGCCCTCTACACAGGTTTTAAGACCATAACTGATTTTCTTTACATGAACAACTCTTTAGAATAATAAAAAAGTTTATTGTTGATTTTCTTACCCAGCTTCATAGCACTAACTATTCATGTCCATGTCATTACTTAAGAAGCATATTATTAACCAACATATTTTATATAACACTGCACACACATTATCTTATATTGTTTAAATATTATTATAAACATTGATTTGAGAGGACTACACAGAATTAGCAGAATCATCTGTTTGATAAAAACAGCAACCACAGAAGTACTTATCACTGAACAATTCTTGTACTACAGGTGCCCTGAGAACAAAATCAAATTCCCAGGCCAATTTTGATTACTGATTTTTCTGATTAACAATAAAGATCAGAATCTGTTTGTTGTCTTATGTTCATGTAGAGTTAAATAAACATTTTAAGCATCACAGTTCATCATCATCTGACAGGGCATCAAGATAGTCTGTATCAACATACAAGAGGAATCCTGAAAACAGACTATCTGCCCAGGTTGGATCAGCAAAGAGGCCATTCTGATCAGTGTAGAAGATCTCAAGCCATACTTCATCCTCTGACTGAAGATAAATCACTGTTGACCCAGAAGCTACATCATGGTTTCCTGTATTAGCATCAAAAGTTTTTATCCGGAATTTCCCATTGTGGACAAGGCCAATGGCAAGATGTTTATTTGCCAAGGTGATGTCATATGAAAAGTAATAAATCCCTGGGATGGCACATATGAATTTCCCGTTTGAAGGATTATAATGCCCTCCTTCATTGAAAAGAACTTTATTGAAAATGATTGGAATTCTCTCTTCCGGATAACTTGTGGTAATCCCAACAGAGAAGGCAGATTTTAATACTATTTTTCCACACTTACAGACTCCTGGTAAACCTGTTTTTCCTCTTTCTCCTTTATCTCCTTTTGGGCCTGCTGGACCAACAGAACCCACATCACCTTTAGCACCTAACAATCCTGTAGGTCCTTTTTTACCAAGTTCTCCTTGATCTCCTTTCTCCCCAGGTTGTCCTGCAGGACCAGTCTTCCCTCTTAAACCTGAAAAGTAGCAGAGTTTATTATTAAACAATTGACAGAAACAGGCATACAATTAGTGACAATTCTGTTTTGGAGAACTCTGGTCCATTTCTTTAAGGATCCCTTAAAGATCCATTGTTAAGGATCCCTTTTTCCAAAGATAAATGTAGATAATCACTACTTGTGTGTATGTTACCCAATTTAATTTTGTTATCAATTTTTTAAATGACCAGGTTCAACCAAGTCAACAAAATACATTCGATGTCCAACAAAAAAACAAGAAAATGTGGTCTTTGTACCCAATCTGAAAACAAGGGTGAATGGTACCTTCCTTAGCCTATTAATACATCACAAGCTAACCTTTGACTCCTATAGAAGCCTTCATCGGACTAAACATTACAGAGCTGTGGATGGTACAGAAGAAACATAAATACCGAGCCCTAATATGCATTTGGATGTCCCCTGCCACATGTTAGCTGTTGAATGTTTTATTTGCATTTTAATGTGTTTTACTTTTGTACAGTATGCCAATAAAGGTTTCTGTCTGTCTGTCTGTCAAAAAGTATGGCTGGATGTCCCTCTGTTTAAACCAAATTCCAGAATGTGGGCTGTAGTATCAGTTCAGAGGTAGTAGGCTTCAAATTTTATTTCCTAGGATGTAAATTAGAATATCACTGCAGTCTTGTTTGACACAACCATACCAAAAGTACCATATTTTTCCATGTACAAAATGACACTTTTTCCTAAAATAATTAAAGGAAAAATTGAGGGTCATTTTATACATGAAAGGAGGAGGAAAGCTGCTTTTTGCAGCAAAAATGTAGGGGGAAAGGAGGAATCGCTTTCCCCCTCCACTTTCTTGCTAAGAAAGAAATTTTGGGTTAGAAAAGTGGGAGTGTCTTATACATGGGGTGTCTTATACACAGAAAAATATGGTAACTCAGCACCCCTCCTCTCACATTACTTTATATCAAAGGACATGGTTTCTTTATGGCTGAAAACAGAGGCGCATAGAATATGGTAAATCCCATACCAGAGAAGTTGAGACAAAATATAATTTGCAGCCAAGTTGAAAACAATACCTAGTGGTTGGAGGAAGATGTCATCCTCAGCTCACACGCCTGCTTGTATATCAGAGAAGAAATATAAATAAAACAAATGCATAAACAAAAAATTTAAGACAAAAAGGAGGAACCTTAAAGACTAACTGCAATATTTAATGTGAGCTTTCATGAACATAAAGGGACGTGGTGGCACTTAGGTTAAACCACAGAAGCCTCTGTGCTACAAGGTCAGAAGACCTGCAGTCATAAGATCGAATCCACGTGACAGAGTGAGCCCCCATCACTTTTCCTAGCTCCTGTCAACCTAGCGGTTCGAAAGCATGCAAAATGCAAAAATGGAAGTAGATAAATAGGTACCATCTTGGTGGGAAGGTAAACGGTGTTGCATATCTAGTCATGCTTGTAGCTGCCTCTCTGAAGCCCTTATTCCCTCAGGCCTCCACGAGGTTCTCGCTCTTCTTCCGTATTGCTGTGACAATACCAATCACTCAAGGAGACATGTGTAACTTTGAAACTTAACTTATTTATTTGATCAGGAATGGTAACATCTGATTAATATGCAGTAGGTAAATCACAGGTTGATAATCACTTGAATCTGAAGCAGTTTTACTTTAACTTTAAAGCTCTATCAACTCTCAGTTCACTCTTAAGTTTCACACAGTCTCTCACTACCAGAATCTCTCTCACTCACAGAACTCTTATCACTCACTGAACTCTTATCACTCACTGAACTCTCCTCCCATACTCCCTACACCCACCTTTATATCCAAACCCCTCCCCCCTTGGCACCGCCTTCCGTTCACTCATTGGCTCCTTTTCCACTGCTCAGCTGTGACAGACAGGTGAGGGCAGGGCTGTACGCTACAATGCTGGCCACGTGACCACGGGGGATTGTCTGTGGGCAAACGTTAGCTCTATGGGTTGGTTGGAAACAGAAATGAGCACCGCCGCCTAGAGTTGGACACGACTGGACAAATTGTCAAGGGAAACCTTTACCTTTTACCTTCATGAACATAGTCTACTTCTTCAGACATGAGAATGAGACTAAATGGCATACTTGATACTGGATACTTGAAGGACCGCCTCCTTCCATATGAGCCTACCCGGCAGTTAAGATCTAGCCAGGGGGCCCTTTTGAAAGAGCAATCCCTCAAAGAGGTAAGAGGGATGGCTTGTAGACAAAGGGCCTTCTTGACAGCTGCCCCCAGACTATGGAACGCCCTCCCGACTGAAATTCGTCTGGCGCCGACGTTGATGACATTTCGGTGCCAGGTCAAAACCTTCCTGTTCCAGAAGGCTTTTAAT